GTCTCGCGGCTGAGCTGGCGCCCAGGGGGAGGTTTCAGCCTCAATCTCTAACCATCCCCATTTTCTAGGAGTTCTCTGTCTTTCCTGGCTGCAGACTGTCTCTCAGCTGAATCTCCTCTGCTTGTTCGGGCTGTATGTTACCCGTTTCAGCTGCTCACCCTTATCTGCTCTGGGACAAAGCACCAACACGTCCGTCTAAACCTCCGCCATTTTCTGATTCTGATTTTTAAATTATATGCTCTATATAGTATTTAAGGTTTCCTCAAAAGAAAGTTAAAAGGAAAAACAGAAGTGCTTATTACTCCTTACATAATACTTGCTCACCCTTCCTCACAAGATTGGTGTGAACAACAAATACATTTGAAAATTGTAAGGGACATGGCAAACTGTGAAGAATTATTCACATTTGCTGATATCGATACATGTTTGAGGTGCATTTCAGCATTGAAAAGTTCAGGTGACTACCTTGACCCATTCCTATGAAAATATGTGACACTGTTTTTTTCTTGAACAGCTTTATTAAAGTACTAGAGGCCGGATGCACGAAATTCATGCAAGGGGCTCTGCCCTGGCAGCCAAGGCAGCTTGCCTTGGCCCTCGTAGCCCTGGCTTTGTCCAGAAGGTCATCTGGAAGGACATCCAGAAGGTCGTTGGGCTGTCCGGTCTAATTAGCATATTATGCTTTTATTATTATAGATAATTTACATACCATAAAATCCACTCATTGTAAGTATACATCTTACTGATTTTTAGTAAGTGTATACAGTTGCGCAGCCATCACTAGAATGCAGTTTTAGAATATTTTCATAACCCCCTAAAGTTCCCTCACGCCCATTTGCAGTTAGTTAATCCCTTTTCTTGCCCCCAGCCCCAAGGGATCATTGATGTGCTTACTGTCTCTATAAAATTGCCTTTTAGGCTATTATGAATAATGCTGTTATGAACATTCATATCTATCTATGTATCTATCTATCTATCTTTGTTTGGATATATGTTTTCATTTCTCTTGAGTAGATTCCTAGGAGTGACTTGTTGGGTTTATGGTAAGTTTATGTTTAACTTTTTAGGACATAGTAAATCTGTCAGAGTGGCTGTATCATTTTATATTTCCATCAGCAACGTATGGGGGTTCTAGTTTCTCCACATCCTGGCCAATACTGGCTAGTGTCTGTCTAGTGGCTGTTCTAGTGGGTGTGCAGTAATATCTTATTGCAGTTCAGTTTCCATTTCCCTAATGACAATCTAAAGGAAGAGAAGCCAGTGCCCCTTGCCCCTGATTAAATGGTTAGATATTGCATGTTTTAAAAAATTCTTGCAGCACACAGGTTGAAAATCACTGTTCTATACTGTTATTTAACTTTTAGTGTGAATATATTTTTTTCTCCAAACTTGATTTTTTAAAAATTTTATTGAGGTATAATTGACATGCAACATGAGTTTCTGATGTACAGTATAATGATTTTATAGTTGTATATATATTGCAAAACAATCACCACAATAATCCTAGTTAACATTTATCATCATGCATAGTTACAATTTTGTTGTGTATGTGATTAAAACTTTTAAGATCCACTCCCTTAGCAACTTTCAAATATGCACCAAAGTATTATTATCTATACATTCAGGCCATGATTATTTATTTTATACCTGGAAGTTTGTATTTTTTGATCCCTTCACTTATTTCACCTATTCCCATCTCCATCCCCTGCCTCTGGCAACCACTAATTTGTTATCTATATCCATGAGCTCCTTTTTTTTTTTTTTCCTTTTTAGATTCCACATGTGAGATCATAAAATATTTCTCTTCCTCTGTCTGACTTATTTTACTTAACATAATGCCCTTAGAGGCCATCCATGTTGTCACAAATGGCAAGAGTTCCTTCTTTTTATAGCTGAATAATATTCCATTGTATATATATATGCCACATCTTCTTTATGCATTTATCCATGGATGGACACTTTCTCTAAACTTGAATTTTAAATTCCCTCAAGGGCAAGTCCTTTTAGCTTATTGATTTTTTTTTTTTTTTTTACATTACCAGGCCTAGCAAAGTACTCTGGAGATAATGCATCCTCAATAAATATATGTTGCATACATGACAAAAAGCTTACTGTTTTTATGTAAATATTGTCAGCACACCTGATATCATAATTTAATAAGTCACATTGAATTTTGTACATCAGAGGTTTCAGTTTTAAAACCATTTCAAAAGGGAGTGCTTCAGAGTATAAACTTGGACAAATAAATTTAATGATCAGAGAAAAGTGACTCTGAGAATAAATTAATATTTTATGGTAACTAATATGTTTAAATAAATTCAAATTTTTAGACTTTTTTTTCTGCAAATGTCCCTGAGTGCCTTAACAAAATAGTAAAACCATAGTTAATCACAAATGAATAATGCTGTCAAGTGTATCCCTGAGTAAGGAGAAAGCAAACGAACACTTCACCCATCATTAGTACTCTGGACTCAAAAGATTTCAAATTATAAATACAAATTTATACTTATGTGGAAGCCTGAATGTAAAACAAAAACAACTTTCCCTATAACTAGTAAATAACAGGGGAAAAGAAAAAAACTTTTGAGCCTTGCCTGGAAGGGTGCCAAAGATATACACTTGAGAATATTTTAAGGTAATTAGCATTTTTGTCTCTGTGTCAGTAAAAATAGGCCTTTGGCTGCTACTAATTTTCTTTGGGTTAGTGAGACCATTGTATGAATGAAGGGCTGTTAAAGGCCATTTATATTGTGCAAACAGAAGCACAAATTAGAGAGGGCATGTTAATAAGGAGAGGGGGCTTATGAGTGCTCAATTATGAGCCCAGAACCTGTTTCTATTTTAAGGGGATAGAAAACACATCAATCTTGCTTTTAGAATATTTTCAATTAAAATGAACAGCACATGGCATACTAAGAACCAGCGAAGGCTGCGGCCATGTGGGTCTTGAATAATTCTTACATACCATCTTAGAATCAACGCTGATATACGTATAATGGCCTGAAATATAATTTGAGATCCCAGAAGACCAAGGTCCCTGAGCTGCATAAGAAATTCTAAAGGAAAAGAAATATAAAACTGGACCATCTGTTTCACTTTCCGGCATGCAACCTTCAGAGTAGACTATTTGGAGAAGGATGCTGCTTTAAATCTGAATAGGGATGAAATATAGTACATACACTCGCAACATATCATGAACTTCCTCTCTCCTAAGCATAATCAATAGCAGTCTCAAGCCTAGTTCCGCATGTTAAAAACACAAAGCACAGTGCTAGCTGCACAGAGCATTCACTTCTCCCCACGCGGAGACAATAGTGAGCAGATTCCTCTCCAGCCCCAGGCAGCGCCTCCTGCCTAATTGGGTTGAGCAATGGGAGACATCCACTCTGCATAGGCAAGCGTTTGGGGAATCTCATTATCCTGTACATACACAACTCTCTGCATAAGCCTAGTTTGCCCCTCCTTTAGCCAGTACTCCCAATGCCTAATGCCATGTTTTTTATATGTGCTTATGAAAACATTTCAAGATATCATCCTCCAAGCTACCTTTTCCCCTATGTGAAATGGCTATTACTAGTATAGAATTATAGCTAACCAAGTTGCCAGTGTTCACATAATGTTCTTAAAGTGGAAAAGCACTAAATAAAACAGTGAAGGGTAGCAGGCATGAATGTGTTTGGTCTCAAGATAAAGAAACCAATACTTCCAATGCTATTCAATAAGCCCAGTGCTGAACTTCTCAAACCAAGATTGTATTGGATTTCTGACCTTTTTTTTTTTTTTTCAGGTGGTGCTAGTCCTCGCTCTTGAAACCTTTGTAACTGTTAAGGCTGAAGTGCCATTTAAAGAAAAAAGAAGGCAAAGAAATGAGCTACGAGAGCCATGGTGAGTCGTTTGTCAATGTATCCTTTCTTGAGTGTGTTGGGAAGCAGGCTTCAGGGTGCTGGGATCATAGGCTTTATTTTGAATTTGTCTGTTATAACCTGAAAGCTTTCTTCAGGGGAGATACATAGGGTTCGTGTCTGTATACAAAGTCTGTTGCTATGGAAAGGTTTGTGCTTAACCATATTACAGTGTTCTGTTAGGAGCAGGGAACCTGGGGTATCAGTTCATCTCTTTCCAAAAGCCACATGTTTTATCGGATAAAAGAAATAAAAAAACATGCACAGCACATATTTCTGCCATTAGAGAACAATTCTAAAGGCCTTTTTTACATTGTATGTATCAAGAAACTATTCTACATTCAAGATCCATGGTAGCTTCTTACTATAGAAGTTAGTTACAATGTAATAGACGTCAATTACTCGCAGTATATTATCTAAGCTCCTCGGCTATTTCCACCTCTAAATTCACTTCCACGTTGCATTTCTCATTCCCACCCAAATATCTGCTGTTGGCTCCACAAGAGAGCTTTCCTTTTAGCATGTGCTCTGTTCTTAGTGAGCAATTCAACACAGTAAGATTGTACTGTGAATGTTTGCTGTTGACACGTTCTCTGAAAAGGGAGGGCGGAGGCTGCCCGAATATTAAAACCTGGGCTGTTCTAGAAAAATTCAACAATTGCTCAAACAATCTAAAATTTGTCAGTGTTCACATTTTTGCTTACATCAAAGTTGGCAAAGTATAGCTTGTCTCATTTTAAAACAGTAATATATTGTATGGTGCTAACACCTACACTTGTAGGAAAACATGTTGGTTCTGGGTGCAGATGCAGAGGCCTGGGTTGGGGGGTCTAGATATGCCATTTGCAGCCTGTGCCATCTTGGGCAGGCTTCTTAACCTCCCTGTGCCTGTTCGCCCATCTGTTAACATTGGAATAAGAATCGTACCTATTTCAAAGGGTTGAACTGGGAATTAAATGAGATAGTTCTGGTATAGCACTTAGAATAGTGCCTGGCACGAAGTAGGGATGCAGTAAGTGTTGGTTCCTTACATTGTTGGTCTTCCTATAGTTTTTAATCTCGCCTTTTCCCATGAATATGCAGCTACTTCTTTTAACTTGGAAGAATCTTAAATGCTAGAATCTGGGACAATGTGGCTAGACGTTTGAAAAATAGGTGGGGTTGGATGACTTTCCTGTGTCCCACAAATAACCCCATTAACAATGAGCTTTGCCCTGGCTGGCTGGCTCAGTTGGTTGGAGCATCATCCAGTGCACCCAAGGGTTGCAGATTCAATTCCTGGTCAGGGAATATACCTGAGTCGTGGGTTCAATTAATCTCTCTCCCCCCCCCCTTCTTTCTAAAACATCAATTTTTAAAAAAATGAGTTTTCCCATACCTGTGAGGACAGCTTTGCCTTTCAATATAATAACTAGGATTCTCTCTTTGTCCATTGTCCTGCTGAAAACTCCATTTTGGTTCTAGATAATGTAAATGTAAAAAGAGTTTGTCTGGATGTATATGTGTTACCTATGTCAACAGGTAGGAAGGGAGAGGGATAGAGAGTTAGAAACATCGATCAGCTGCCTCCTGCAGACCTCCTACTGGGGATGTGCCCGCAACCAAGGTACATGCCCTTGACCGGAATCGAACCTGGGACCCTTCAGTCCGCAGGCTGATGCTCTATCCACTGAGCCAAACCGGTTAGGGCCAATCCTTATATGTTATTAAATGTAGAAAGAGGTTTAAAATATCTGATCATTTATCCCAAATTATGCAAAGCTTTACCAGTATTCCAAGTATAAAAAATGTAGACATACAGAGAAAGACAAAGAGATCATTTTGCACATATTCAAACGGATGCCCGAGGTTTCAGCCCAGACCTGGAATTCATTGTCAGTACTTGGCATTGATCCACAGCCAGGGAAACCACGATTAGTAGGCCTGTTTTCTTTACTCAGAGCCTAATTTGGGACTGTCAAGTCAATTTGACTACAATTGAATGAAATTTTTGTTCTTTAAATGTTTGTTTTTCACATTTCATTTATATACTTTCTCTAGTAAGGTCAAATTCCTCTGTAACTATTATCTAATTTATTCCTGTAACTTCTCTGTGAGATGGGGAGCATTTATCTTTATTATTAGCATCTGGTGTTGGAAGATTCACATTTACTTTGTTGGGAATCACCAGGAATAAATCTCATGTAGACACTAATGGAAAATATAATAGGAGATAAATATAGGTATATCTGTAAATGAAGATATTTTCCCACCTTTGAAATCTGTTGACTAAAAAGATGAAAAATGGAACAACTTATGATGATTGAATAGTAATAAAAAGCAGCATTTAATCTAAATCTCTCCTTCCCATGATTACAGCGTGCTAAATATTACTCGATACTAGAGAGTCTGCTGATGAGCTATGTAAATGTTTTCCAATAAAATTAAATAGATTAGAATTGGAAAGAGAATGTTAATATTTCTAAGGCTTTTAAGGAGTCTTCTCTAAACACATTTCCAAAAAAATACAATTGAAGACTATGTCCCCGCATCACCAGTACCAGCATGGTGAGCGCCATTGTTTCCATGTGGATAGAATGGGCAGAGGCAGCCATCCTGTTGGAGAAGTTCCTGTCATCTGTGATCCTATATTGTTAATTCTCTTCGTGTATTTTGCCTGCTGCTTTGTTTTGGTTGTCAAAGTTTGTTACTGAGACAAGACTAAGATCATCCTACTCTGACAGTCGCAGATTGAGTTGGCATGACACACCATGAGGTGCGTCTAATTGCTGTTAATATTGGAAGGATGGATAATCCTATTAAAAAGAAGAACAGTTATCAAAAAATAAATAGGTGGAGGCAAGACTAGATTACATGAAAGAAGGACAGCTTGATGAGGGGAAACCCATTAACCTGAAAGGAAACAGTTCTTTGCTTCCAATTTAGCAGTTGTGAGCAAGACTGCATTCATACTAAATTGAAATGGAAACAATTTTTCTGATTCATTTGTAGACTTAACTATTAGGTTTTCTTATACGTGGAAAAAGAGACCCTACTGTGAATCCTAATTGTTAGTAGAATATCAAAATGCCATGTTAGGATAATGGGAAAACCTTTGTCTTGCTCCTGAGGTTTTATTAATGAGTGGAGAGCACAATACTCTATGCCAGTGCCTCTCAAACTCGATGAGCACAGGCATCACTTGGCGATCTTGATAAACTGTAGCTTCGACTTGGTAGTTTTGGGGTGGGGCCAACATGCTACCCTGGAGAAGCCCCCAAGAGATGCCCATCCTGCTGGTTCAGCACAATTCTTGGAGAAGGCAGGCTCCAGACAAATATTTTACAAAGAAATCTGTATACATGCAGCATGACTTGCTTTGCCATCATTCCAGGAAATTAAATGGCATTGGGATAACAATACCCAAACCACTTGCTTTGCAAATGGGAATGAGCCAATTTAAAGTTTCACGGACTCTTTTAAGGACAACTTGAATTATGGGTAAGGGTGAAGCTGTAATGGAACAGTCTGGAAAGGCAGAAGGTCTCTTGGTTCCCATTGGAGGTTAGTTCATAGTTTCCTTCAATCCCTCCCTTCCTTTGGTCATAGTTTTTACATGGCTATTAGAAAAAATGGAAATATAATACACTTTACTGCTTGAATTCATGTTGCCTTAGAAAGAGAGAGCATTATGCTTCTTCTCCTTCATCCTCCCACAACCCAAGTTGTTAAGAGAACGTGGAATGCTGCGAGGATCTCACAGCAAGCACATTTCACCCATTCAGTCTGTGCCAGGACGTGCTATTTATTGGTGGTTACATTCTGGTAAGGTCATATGACACTCCCAGCACGAAGTCTGGTGTGGGCTCTTGCATGCATTCATCTTAATCAAACCTCAGATAGCTGAATAAGAAGGAGACCATTACATTGAATTACTTTGAATAATTAAGAGTGTATTTGAGCCCTGGCCAGGTTGCTCAGTTGACCTGTACACCAAAAAGGTTACAGGTTTGAGTACCAGTCAGGGCACATACCTAGGTTGTGGGTTTGATCCCTGGCTGGGGCACATACAGGCAGCACCCAATTGATGTTTCCTTTTCACATCTCTCTCTCTCTTCCTCTCCCCTCCCCCACTTCCTGTCTCTCGAAAAATCAATAAAAACATATTCCTCAGGTGAGGATTAGAAACAAAAAGAATAAAAATACATAGTGCATTTGAGTCAGGAGAACTTTAAATAGGGAAAATGGGTTTCAGAAACTTGACAACCTGTTAACTATTCTGAATTTTGGGTGATCATAAACTATCATTTATTACTTATATGGTAAGTATGTAGGGACAGCATAAACCTGAAAAACAGATGGTAGGAAAATGAATTGGGTGGACAGTGTGTGCATGTATTAGTCTGATCAGGCTGCTATAACAAAATACCATAGATTGGTTGGCTTAAATAGCAGGCATTTACTTCTCAGTTCTGGAGGCTGGGGAGTCCAGGATCAAGGTACTGACTGATTTGGTTCCTGGTTAAGAGCCCTCTCTCTGGTTTGCAGATAGCCACCTTTTCCCTGTGTCCTCAAATGACTGAGAGAGAGCAATCTCTCTCTCTGCCTCTTCTTATAAAGCTACCAATCCCATCATGAGGGTCATAACGTCATGACTCATTTAACCCTAATTACCTCTAAAGCCTTATTTTCAAATACCATCACATTGGGATAGGGCATCAACATATGAATTTTTTTGGGGGGGACACAATTCAGTCCATAGCAGTACATTAAAGGCCAATTAAGATATTAACAACTTTGAAATTATAATATAAGCACAAAAATGCAGACTTTTTCTTGTTTTTCAACTTATAATTATGTATATTTTTAGTATTTGTTGTCTCTTAAGCCACAAGTCTATATGTATATTACACTGATATCAAGTCAGGAAATAAGGTCCCTAATGATAGTTTCATCACATTATTGAAGGTTGTTTATTCTAAAATTAATTTATTCTCCTATCTA